GTAATTTTGATATTCGCATTGTTCTTAAAATTTTCTTTTGTTTTTCCAAATAGATAACTGTAGATATATCATAGTCATCTTGTCTAGATATAGCTGTGGTGACACAAAAGCAAAATATAATGTGAAATTAGCGTTTTGCACAAACTGCAGTTTCCCGTTTCTCATAAACTGCTCGAAAATTACCAAAATTACTTCATTGCCAGATATTATGATTTGTTCAAAATCAGTTGCAGAAAGCTACTTTGTTTCTTTATTGTTGTAAAAAAACTTTTTCTAGTGTTGTAAAAAAACTTTTTCTTCCTTTTTTTTCAAGCTCAAACATTACTGTGAGGCACTTTTCATTTTCAAAAACACCTTTATTTCTCATTGCTAATGAAGAGAAGTGGGTTTAGCGGTTGTGTGCTTGCTTTGCAGGTAGCTCCATGAAGTCGGACGCAACCCAAACATATGGCAGCCACAGCTTTTCTGGGGTTGTGCCGCACCTCGTTAACTCACCTTCAATAACAACAATTTATACATGTATCGACAACTTATTACATCTCGTAGTTTTCATAGCAGTAAAGTGAACCAAATTTGTCTTCTTCAGTCTAATAACGCTTGCTGAAAGGACAGCCACTGAAAGCTAAAAATATCAGACGGGACAAACGAGGATTTGGTTGGGTCCTAATTCCACTGGCGATTATTTGGAGCTATTCAATATGTGGACAAGCCAGGAGTAGTTTTGTTTTCAGTGCAAAAAATTTTAGCTTACTCACCTTTAAAAAATTGACACGTTGACGACCGGCGCATACGCGCCTATGCACGAACTGAAGGGGGGCAGATTAGGAGGGGCGTATCCGGCGGCCCTGCGTCATAGCTCTTTCCCAACCCTGGTTATAAACTGCACGGAATCGACCAGGCTGAACGCCCTGTCTCTTGCGGCTAACAATGCCATTAGCGCGCATGAGTCATCATCAGGTTTAGGGTTATGGAAATATTATGTGAACGGAAAAAGTTGCAAGTGTTTCGCTATTTCTAAGGTTGCTACCGCGCAACCTGAATGCAACCTGAGGTCCTGCAGGGCTAAACAAAGTCATGATCAGAGTCAAGCAAGAGGTGTGGCACTCGGTCGCTGTTTACGACCCCCCCCCTCTTATTGCTGTCTCAATAAGACCCCTGAACTATACACCTAAACTAGCATTACTTTAAGGCCTTGCCAAACATAACGGTCAACATATCCATAATTAGCATGTCAAGCAACCCCTGTAGACAATGTTTGAGCGAATTCTAAAGTTTCAAGATACTGGGTCACCTAAATGAAAGCGCCATTTTTCAGCATGATTAACTTTGTTTTAAAGATGAAGGTAGCTAGCTGTTTTTGCACTCAAGACAAAGCACTTCTCCTTCTTTGGCCACTTCAGAAATCTCGTTTCAAAAGACCTTCTAACTTTAGGATTAGAAGCTAACCAAAACCTTATTTTTCCTATTTTTCGCTTTTAATTGCTGTGCTTTCACCAAATATTACTCAAAACCAAGAGGACAAATCAGGCTCAAATCACTCCTATGAAATCTACGAGATCTAGGTCATCGACTCATATAAAAAACGATAGCTAAAAATGTTTTTTTGATATAGTTAATGGGGTGTGGCACCACCCCTAAAAAGCTGTGGCTGGTGGCGCCACACCCCATTAACTTACCTTCAAACAGATCAAATAGCTGCGTTTTTTATATCGTTGTTAGTAATTAACCTTCTTCTTTACATAGCAGAAATTTCATATGAAAGCGTTTCTTCAAGAGCAAGATATAGTCGTTTTTCCTTACCTATGCATATGTAAAATATTGGTAAAATACTGCGAAAATATTGGGATACGCATCATGCTAAGTCTGCGCAACTACGTGAATCGCAGAGGAAGGTGCGAAGAATACATACATTTGATAGCCTAATACTCATAATCTACATTAGAGTGATTTGAGCCTTATTGGTCTTTTCTAACCTGAGATATTGGAAACGAGAAGTGGAATGGAGATTTTGGCTTGCTCTTAAATCGTTAATTTGGAGGTCATTTGAAGTAGGATACCTAATGTGAGCAAGGAAATAGTTACCTTGTAGTGAGTGCAAAAAGAAGTAGTTCACTTATCTTTGAAACGAAGTTGGCATGTCGAAAATGACCACTTCCCTAAACCTTAGAATTCGCTGAAACTTGGACCACAGGGGTTTACTTGCTAATAACAAAACGATGCTCTTATGCTTTATAGATATTTAATCATTCTTACTGTAGGTATACGATAATGGGTCAAACATCAATGTGCTAGTATTTTGCATGATGGGCTTATTTGACATTGTTAACGAGTATCATGTTATGCGAAGAGCGGACTCCTTGATAACGACCCCCTCCCCTCCCTGGTTCCTCAAGACGACCCCCCCCCCCAGGTGTGGTATGCCACACAACGCTTGACCCTGGTCATCAGAGCGCCCGTACTCGGCAGCCGCGTTGAATGCACCCTCGCCTGCGTTCAGCCTACAGCAGCCCGAGCAATTTCGCGCAGTCGACTTTACCATTAGATGTACTAAATGCAAAAATTTCTCTGGAATGCTTTCAGAATAACCACAAAAATGTGACTGTTTTCCGTCGCGGATAGCGAATGATGAGGTCAGCTATTATGTCCAAGTGTTTTACTTACCACTAGTTGTAAAGTTGCTTGTTATTCTTGCACCAATAAGCATAAATATGCTTCACACAAGAGCGCGGAGTCGTTCTCAAATTACTATTATGATTTAAATTCTATCTTTATCATCCATGGATAAGATCTGCTTGATTAAGTATATCCAAACTCTTGGCGAAAATTCGATGTACAATTACCTACCGTACTTCCAAGTGCATGTATTGAAGTGAAATATGATTGCAGAACTAAGATAGTCACTTCACCAGTAACATTTTTCAGCCAAACCGGCACAAATAATTACTTGCAGAAACCTACCGTAGCCTTTCGAGATGTTATCGTAATCAGTAACGTTCATATTCGAAATGAGCCGGTAGGAAAACCCCTAAGTTATAGCCATGACCCATCATGTGGGTTCACATTGTCTCACGTGGCAGTCATTGCATACTCACCATGTGGGACATTGCCGCCAATGTGTTGAATCCTAAATTCTTTGAAATTTCAGTTATGCTTTCAGCTACAGTAGCTAGTTTACGACCATCCAGTTTTTGAACTACTGCGATATTACCTGGTATTTGTACACATGCAATCCTTCATGACATTTCGTCACGGAACGAACCACACGACTCTCCCTCTAATTTCTGTTTAAGGCCCGTGTGCACGTATATCCTCGCTGGGGAGGGGAGGGGATCTGAGAGGGGATGCGTCATATCTCGCTACTCTGCGTGTCTTTCTTCATCCTTTTCTATCTTGCTTATGAAGGTTCTCATACCCTTATACCTGCGCATAATGGATGGCAGGTTACTAGCGTGATTGATTAGATTTTCACTATTTTGTGTGCTCCCCCGGGAAGAATCCCAAGGGGATCTCCAGGGGATCAACTCCCAAATTCAGTGCCATTTATCTCCCTAAAAACTCAATGAAACGCTGTAGGATTGTACTGTGGATATACTACGGCTCTGTTAAAGATTATTATAGTAGAAATAAGTGAAATCTCAGGATATCGAAATCTTTGGTAATCCCTAGGTCGCGAGCCAGGGATCATCGAGAAATTCACAATCTTCAGATTCAATTTCTTCTGTCGAAAATATGCTTAGCAGTGCCGTAGTATATCCTCAGTAATTTTACAGCGTTTTCATTGACTTCTCAGGAAAATAGATCACTTTGAAAATAAGAGGTGATCCTCAGGGGATCCCCTGGGGATCACACAAAATGGCAAAAAACCAGTCTTGTATGTAACCTTCGCATAATGGAAGTAACCTGGCTTCCAGTATGCGAAGATTTAAGTGTATGAAAGACTTTATGAGCAAGATAGAGAAAGATGAAGAAAGATACGTAGAGTAGCGAGATATGACCATCCCCTCTCAGATCCCCTTCCTCCCCAGCGGGAATGTACGTGCATACGGGCCTAAAAACAAACTTCCCAAGTCGACCCATGTCTAGTAGCGCAGGCCATCCTGCTCCTCATATCACTGAAAGGTTTAGGAGAATAAAAATTGAACACGCCTGTCACTCTTTGTCTCTCGATATGACTGTTGCGATATGTACGTTGAAGGCAGTGTCGGGCAAAAACTGAAAATCCAGCTATCACGCTTCTGGACCTATCTGCTGCGCTGAACCCGAAATCCACTTTCGAAAGCGCAAAAACGGCAGAAAAAAAGCGGATCCCCGCATTTGATCCAACGTTTTATCTTCGCAATTGTGCGATTTTATGCCGGAAGACGCCCATTTTCAATAGAGCTAGAATCTTACATACATCAACCTTTTCGTCTTCCCAAGACAATGCCTTCAAAGTCAGAATCTCTGATATAAAATTAGATCGTTAGGAACTCACAAAACCGGGTGAACGCCCTCCTGCAGTATTCCGTTCTGGCGCTAATTACTCTGCCAGGGAAAGGCTAATTATCTCAATTATTTCATAATCTAGTACATTTTTGAATACATCTGAATTGTCCAAAAAGCGAGTGCACTTGAACATTGATAGTGACGAGGCCCAAAAATTTTCTCGGAGCGCTGGCTAACGCCAGTCAATTCAATTGAATAAAATCGTATGTCCCCTCCCCCGGACGGAAATCCTGCGACCGTCACTACCACCTACTTTCTTATCGTCTGAAGCTCTTCATCTTCTTCGCTCTTCTCTTCGAAAAAATGCTTTTGCATGACTGGTTCCAAATTGAAGTGCCTGCGTCTCTAACGATACCCCAGCTCTCTCGCTTACCCAATCACTGTTGCGCCGCGCATTAATCAGGCTGCTAAGGCTAGCGGTGTAGAAGGGCCGTCTTTCGCAGAACCACTTTTTAATTCTGCTCAGCTGTCCTATTCGGAGTAGAAGGCATGCGTAGATTGGTAATGATGAAAAAAACTGGAAAGATGCACTAACATACATCAAATAGTACAGTATGGTCAAGCGCGGCTTTGACCAAAGGCACAATTTCTAGACGATACTTTCTCTGTCATATAAAGTTAGTTTGCATTTATGAAGCTCTTAGTAGTAAGTAAGTGGTACATAAATACGATAGTTTGTCTGGTACTCCTTCTATAATTACCAAACAGCGCAGCGTTTTCTGGGATTCATGGCAGTGCCCTTTTTACATCTGAAGGCAGCGGCAAACTCGGGTTGATTGGCTAGCACTTGATTGACCCTGAAATGTTGCTTGTAGTAATTCAGCGACATGCTCTGACTTCATTTACCGATAACGTAGTGGAGCGTGGTAATCGGTAAGAATTTCGTTAATTAGCTTGTCATGTGTCATATGCCCACAACAGGTCTAAAGACTGTTGAGTTTTGCTACTACGCTCGAGTAAATGTTACCATAGCATATCCTAAGAAGAACATCTGCTTGTTGTTATATTGTTCCAAGCCTTTGATTCTCTCTTCTTCCCCACCATGCTTCCGCAGATAAGCTTTGTAAGCCTAAACAGTCGAAATTAAGGCCCGGTAGGAGACCACCTTGCGGTGTTACCCTGTACGCCTGCTTCACTGCACCAATGTCGGCAATATTTTCTCCCTGCGTTAGTTTACCGTTGATTTTGAGACCAGTTCCAGGTACCTTAAAACACATTAACTAGCAGCATGACAATTTGTTGTAAAGTTCTGCTAACTTTAATATTCCCGTACTGATTGATTATGCACTGAGCTCGATCCTGAAACTTTTTCTTTACGTCCTCACTCCACCAATCGCGAAGATTACCGGTAGCGTCAAACTGGCAACCTAAAATTAGCAGTGAGAGATGTCGGAAACTTCAAAGCAGAGCTAACTAGGTAAAATGAAAATTTTTGGCTTCCGAAAGAAAACTAAACATACCTTCATCATCGAAGCCATGTGTAATTTCATGCCCAATGACTGTTCCTATTCCACCGTAATTTAGAGCCCTGCAAAGTCAAAAAGAAAGTATGCTATCTCGAAATGTTGCTGTTTTGATGCACAAAATTGCATGTTCTCTGCCAGAAATTCCTGAAACGATATATAGTACCTACCATCTATAGCATTATGTAAATTAAAGGCAGCGTCCAGGCAAAAACTCCATTTTCAAAATACCACTCTTACCGGGGGTCCGCAACGCTGAATTCAAAAATACACATTAGATGCGCGAAAACGGGCGAGGACGTCCGTTTTTCAGAACCTTACCGTTTGAAAATCGACGGTCCCCGCCAAAGTTGAGACGCAGAGTCGCTGCGGGACCCTACAATTTTGTGTGACGGCATGCTAATCTGCCGCAAAGCAGAAATTCAAACAGGTTGGAGGATCCCGCCCAAGACGTAAATTTCCCAATTTCCCGATCGTGTTTTCTTGCTTCAGGTCGAAGGTTATAACCCTCACACTTGAGGAAGCTGGAGGGGGTCATTTTCGCATGGCACTGAAATCCCAGAACCTCCCCCCCCCCTTGTCCAGACACTGCCTTCAACGTGCCTTTTATACGATTTCTCATCAAAGATTTTTTTTAGGAAGCTATCCCGGCAACTCAAATAAGTTACTCAAAACAGCGTGTTCATAGTCGAAAAAAAATCAAGTTTTTGAAAAAATTGCGATTATCACAAAGATGTTTCTGAAAAGACGACCATTTGCAAAGTAATTTCTTCTGCGTTCTTATACACTTGGAGCGTTAAGCATGTAAAAACTATCGATGTGCTTCTCACTTCTTTTCCTGAGACTTTCACATAACAAATAACAATGAGCTAGTAACCTCGGAAAGGTGTGGTGGAAGAATGGAGCTTGAAGAATGGCAGCAGGAAATTCTGAAAGTAGATGAAAGGCAAGAGCAAGCGAAAAAAAGCGTAGTCTTACTGATAGAATTGGATTCCATTGAGTAATAAGCGTTAACTATGGCAGAGTTGAAATTGTACTCGGAACGATCCACAGGTTTCATCAATCTTTTAAAGGCATACTCTATTCCCCATCGCGTCACTTTTTCCAACATCTCAGTGTAGGAATCAGTGTCACGCACATCCAGCTAAAGTAACATGTACGCTTTTCTCGGTCAAAACTCTGCAAAATTTGTACCGACACCATCGTAGTATGCGTCGAGCTTTTCGTCATTTAGAATAAAGTCTGGGTAGGCTATCTGAGGCAGCATTCGGCTTTCCTTGTTCAAAGCTGTCTGCAACTTTGTTGTTCAGCCGCTTAAAAATACCCCCATTCTATCAACTTACAGTTTTAGTTTGATCGTCCATCCAATCACTGCTGCTGAGGATCTCACGAAATGTTTTTTTAAGGTCATCGATCATTTCCAGTGTAACATTCTTTGACTCCTAAACCTATGCTGGATACTAAAAATTGCAATTGTGTTAGGTACCTGGTCGAAGTCCTTCTTTATGTATATCGCACTGGTAGCGTATTGCATTTCTTCCAGTTCCATAGTATGAGTGATGCAGTCCTTCCATCGTGGTGCTTTCTGTTGTTTCCCGTACATAACCTTATTGAATTTCTGAATTTGAAACAATTCTTATATTTACCTTGTTGTTTTTATTGAAAGCAAAAAATTGGGCAGAGTTTTTCGGGACAACTTTCTACACCAACTTTTTCATTTTCAAAACGGCTTTTACTGAGTTTGTCTCTCTTCTCTTGCCTTTTCGAGTAAAGGTAATTTCTTATGACTCTTGCACCATATTATTACATTCTTAGAATTTCTTTGTGCTTAATTAGCTAGCAGGAATCTAAGCGCGAGCAAAGGTTTTCCAAGAAAAATAACACAAAAGGAAGTTGCTCATTTACACAGTAATGTATTTATCGAAATTATGAATCCGGGAGTCCTATTCCAACGAGCCAGTAATGCTAGTTATTTTGTGACATAAATGCTACTAAACGAACAACTGGATGCTTTGTTATTGAAGTAATGAATCTCGATAACATCAGTACAAAATGATTTCAAAACATCTTGAGACACTGGGTCTCACTAAAGAAAACAACAAAGAGCTACGACTTATTCATTCTACTAGGTTGGCCCGAAATTTCGTCCGCACCATTTTCAAAAATTCATAAGTGCTATTTTTTTCAACCAACTTTCTTTACTGCTGTATCTTAGCGGCTTTCTATCAAACATGCACTGCATGATAGAAGAAAATCACCCAGATTTTAAATTTCTGGGTAGGGTCATAAATAATCTGAAACCTGCAAATTCGGAACATCTGTATATAGACAGTAGTCGGTCTTATAGGTTCTATTACTAGCTTTTTTTGGCTGTGCAAGGTTTTTGCTGATTGAGTCTCTTTATGAAAAGTTAGGACTTCTGAGCAAGAAATGCAAAAGGGCAGTTTTGATTTATTTTAGCATTTTTCTCGAAAATCATAGCTCTTCAGTGAGACGCTCTATCAACACAAACTTTGCACATTTGGATAGACCTGGTGGTAGAAAATATAATACCGACTGCTCCGATTACTGCAAATCGGAGTAATCAGATTTTTTATGACCCTACACAAAAAAATCCAAAATTTGAGTAATTTTCTTCTAGCGCTTCTATCTATGCTGTGTATGCTCAACAGAAAGCCGCAAAGATACCTCCGTAAGGAAAATGAACTGTTTTTTCATATAAAAATGAACAAACACAAATCGGTTGGAAAAACCAGGAGTTATAAATTTTTGAAAATGGTGGGAACAAACTTTCGGGCTAACCTAATACTTTCAAATCGTACTACTGATCGCTTTAAGTAAGGGCTTGCCAATCATGTCAACAAAGTCCGAGAGTTAAAAACGGATAAAAATGCTTTTTTCGGAGATTTACAAAATTTAACACTTCATACTTTCCTGCTTCTTCGCAGTATCGGTACAATTGAGAGCAGTTTGAGTTGTAAGCAATTTAGCGCTTCTGATGCATTCATTCATGATAGGGTTTTGAAAAAGTCATGGCCCATTCAAAGGTTGCGAAAAGTGTGGTGATTTCCAGCTTGGATTTGTCGAAGAAGTTCTAAATCTCAACTTGTGGAAAACTGAAATCGCATCTAAAAACAATTTTAATACCATTTGTTTCAAACCTGAGTAACATCTTCGTACTTTTCTCCCATCTCTTGTGCCCAGTCTAAGGAATACCGCATGAGAACATAATTCATGATTATACGTTTGTCCGTTGATTGCAAAAGTTCGGTTATTCTTAATATAAGCGTTCAATTCGATGTTAGTTTAGTGAGGCGAAGAATGTCTCAAGAACAAAAACCTCTACCTTCTCAGATAGTCAATTTCTACAATAAGAATTTCTGGATCCGAGTTGAGATATTGGTGGGAAGCAGCTGGAGAAATGGCAAGAAAAAATTGCGACCAGTCGACCTGAAATTTCAGATAGGTATAAAATCTTGGCAGCGTTCATAACTTGATGTAACACCCACTAAAGGCATGAGCCCCTGCATGTCACTCAGGTGGCGAAGGTTATAAAGTTTGGTATGGTTCCTGCGGTCCTCTTCCGCAACTATGATTCGTGCCAATTTCGTTTCAAGATCGATAAGTTCGTCTACGTCTTTTACAATTTTTGGTCTGTTAGTTGGCAGATAGGCATCCTTTTGACACAGCTCTATCTGCAATTTTGAGGAAATTTGAAATGATTTCATGAACTCTTTGAAAAATGTTTCACCTGACTAATAAGGAGATTTTTCAAAGCCTCGATTTTTTTACCATGCTTTTCTGTATCCAAGTAATAATCTCTCGAAGATTCACCCAAAATAAGATTTCCTTGATCGAACTGCAAAAAGGAGGACTAGCAACATGCGCGAGAAACCAAATCATCAGCATCAAAAGTGATTTCCGGAACAAACAACGTGTTTATAGAATGTTAGACAGTACTAGCAGATGGTCCATAAATTTCTTTACGTATGTATAATGCATTATATTAAGTTGCTTCGAAAGTCCTTGGACTTTTTCAGACTAAATCTGCTATATCTCAAGAACTACAATACCGCTCACATTTAGAAGAAGGTTGCATCATGTATAAACATCACCGTCGCGTGGCCATTCGCTTCAGAGTGGACGAATTCCGAATTCGAAGCCACCCGACTCAGTTCGTGTGTGTGTGTGTGTGTGTGTGTGTGTGTGTGTGTGTGTGTGTGTGTGTGTGTGTGTGTGTGTGTGTGTGTGTGTGTGTGTGTGTGTGTGTGTGTGTGTGTGTGTGTGTGTGTGTGTGTGTGTGTGTGTGTGTGTGTGTGTGTGTGTGTGTGTGTGTGTGTGTGTGTGTGTGTGTGTGTGTGTGTGTGTGTGTGTGTGTGTGTGTGTGTGTGTGTGTGTGTGTGTGTGTGTGTGTGTGTGTGTGTGTGTGTGTGTGTGTGTGTGTGTGTGTGTGTGTGTGTGTGTGTGTGTGTGTGTGTGTGTGTGTGTGTGTGTGTGTGTGTGTGTGTGTGTGTGTATCCCACAAAATTCGTAGAACGTGTTCCAGCCAACCTCCTGAGCCTAAATTTTCCACAGCGCATGCTACCAAAATGAGAGTCCACTATAAAAATGCAGGAGCGGATCCCTCAATGCGCGTGAATCGGGTCCACTTGGCTTTTGGCCAGTAAAATTGAGCCTGTAGCACAACTTTTTGCAAGGCCACTGAAATGTTTGACAAGCTAATGTGCAAACGATGGACTTTAGCTTATAAAACTGAACTAAAGTTTATTACTTTGCGAGAACGGGGCCAGAAAGAATTGGTTGCGTAAGTGTTCACTTTGCCAAGATTTTACCCGATCGTTTGAAAAGATTTTTGCACAGAGATGTAGCCCGCGGTGATATTGTATCTTATGGCAAATATCAAGCCATGAAAACTCCAAAAACCGATTCTAATCAGCATTTGTTCTTTTGAGAGAAGTTTCATTCACGCGAAATTACCGATCTTTATGGAAAAGCTTTTAGAATGAATAGTTGTTTACAAATCATTCATGATAGTCGGCATAGCGCGGTGAGTTTCAATGTCACTATTGAAAGTTGCCAAAATTAGAATCTGCAGCCTTGTATTTAGTATTTTTTGTTCAAGTGCTTTATACGACGAGTACAGGTCATATTTGTTTGCATACACTTCGCGAAAAGAACCGTACCTTGATTAGACGGCGAGAAACATTTTTGTCGTCGAAGGTGATAGAGTACGTGATGAACGCATTAACATTGCGCTTTTTTGACACATGTATTAAGAGTGATGTCAAATCAAAATTCTCCACTCTCCATTTTTCATCTCCTTCCAGTATTGGCCAAAAACCGAAATTCTGAAGCAGATTTTTTGGAAGATCTCTTTGCAGAATTAAGTGCGCAACCTACCCTGATGCCTTCTATCAATCGACTAGCACCGATGCGGTTGAGCTCCTCTTTATCCATACATTTCTTGTAGATAGCTTTCAAAGCATTCATAGATTTCGAGTCAAATATTTCATTGGATTCAAGTATGTCTTAAATATCTGCTTACATTCAAGTATGTCTTAAATATCTGCTTATGGTTAGAAAGCGAAGTGGCCAATCTAAAGCTGCATACCATTGCAGCGTAACACGCTGGCTTCGAATTTCTTTCCTCATCTGCTTAGCGCCTTTGTGGACGAAGTTATAAGCCGTCAAAAGTCAATAATTTGCTAAGAAATTGTGCGTGTAAAGGGCAAATTTGGCAGTACACGGCCACATTCGGCTCAATATGCGCCAAAACATGCCGCTAGGTTACTTTATATTCTTGAAGGTTGAAGGTGAGCTGAAAGTGCAAAAATGTGCTCAATTTCGCAATTTTTATATGCGACTTTTCCACAATAGAACTGCTCATAACTTGTCCAGAAAGACGCTAAGCAGATAAGGAATACAGATAAATCAGCGTTGAATACTGCTTCGAATGGTAGAAAACCTGCTTGGTTTCGCCACTTCGACTTCTGACCATTCCTTTGTTAGCAAAGTCGAGTGTGTGAGGTAAAATCCTCGCGATAAAGACCACAAGTGCTCAACTCTATCACAAAAGAAACTTTACTTTAGCACATGTTCGACTTTTCTCAATAACGTTTATGTACAGTTGAGTAGATTTTCCACTTAATCCAGTGTGCTTGCATGAAGGTGAAATGCGGTAAAGATTGCGCATGAACAAATAGCTGCGTCTTTGACGCCGGCCAATTGAGCGCGCAAAAGGCTGGCATTACTGGCGTGGCTACTTGTTCACGCAAGAAATTTTGCCGCATTTCACCTTCCGTGCAAGCACACTATATTAAGCGGGAAATCTACTCCACTGTACACATCAAAGAATAAAACAGAAACTTTTGCCTTATGTAAGGATTCCGGAATTTTGCATTTTCAATCTTACCTCTCATTTGCTCTTGCACTCTGTCAGAGACCAGTACAAATTGATCATAGGTGGTTTTGTGTTTGGGAATTGGATGATTAGCTATCCAGTTGCCACAGGTAAACGCAAAAAAATCCTCGCATGGATTCACCTATTGTGGAACAATAGTACATGACCTTGGATGTAGTTTCAAGGCAACTAACCGAAAAATTGATTGACTTTGTAAGAATTTTAGAGGCGATGTTGTATCCAGCTGAAGAGCCAATGCCCTTTATGTCGTCTTCGCATGGTGGCGTGATGTGGGTAACGCAGCAGCACAATGGCACCAAAGCTAGCGCCCACAGCATTCGAAGCTGAAAGTGAAGAGTACTTGCCATACTGAATTGATGCGATGCGCCTGAAGATCAGCGCAATATTTTGAACATGTGTTGCGCATACACCATAACAGTGACATGAGCATTTGTTATATTATGTGTACCTACTCAGATAATCGCCGGAAGCAGGCAGTCCGCAAACTCGCGCTTTTCTGCAAGCGGTCAGCAAAATTTTGGGGCGTGGCCAAACCTTCAGCGAGGTACTTCCGTGTTCTGCCAGCGAGCAACAATACAAAATTTTCTGCAAGCGCTCGTCAAACAATCTTTATTAGCGAGCTGGCCAAACTTTCAGCAGGCGGTCGGACTCTTTTTACGCGTTTTCGGGAGTACGCCGAGCAAAGGTGAAACACCTTGTGGCAAAAGTGTCATCGATGGTTTAATTAATCGAATCATCGATGGTTTAGTCGAATTTGAGGTACCTTCCTTCAGTTATACGTATCTACGGGCTCTGCGGACCTGCAGAAAGGACCGTGCGGCTCTCAATAATTTTGCATATTTTCGCGTAAAGTCCGCGAAAAAGCGGTCGCTGCCCCGCAACTACTCAGATAATCGCCGGGGGCAAGCGGCCATGCGAATTTGGAGCAAGCGGGCACCGGAAAAATAGTTCGCTGATTTTTTGTGGTCCGCTTGCAGAAATTTGGAATAATTTTGGCCAAATTTTAGACGAACGCTCGAAGATCTACCGCGCTCTTTCTATACATAAGTTGCGGCACAGTGGCCGCATTCTTGCGGACATTCCGCGAAAACATGCAAAATTATTGGGAGCCGCACGGTCTTTTGTGGAGGACCGCGCAACCCCCAGGTACTTTCCGCTGAAAGAAAGTACCCCAAACTTGGGTAATAAAACCATCGACGGTACCTCTGCCACATAGAGTCTCATCTTTTCTCGGCGTATGCCCGAAACCGCGTAAAAAGAGTCCGAGCGCCTGCTGAAAGTTTGGCCAGCGCTCGCTGAAAGAGATTGTTTGACGAGCGCTTGCAGAAAATTTTGTATTGATGCCCGCTTGCAGAAAACGGAAATACCGCCCGCTGAAGATTTGGCCACGCCCCGAAATCCTGCTGACCGCCTGCAGAAAAGCGCGAGTCTGCGGACCGCCTGCCCCCGGCGATTATCTGAGTAATTCAAAGAAGAACCGCGATTGTTTTCCGAGCAGTCGTCCGAAAGTTGGCCAACATTCTTCCAAATTTCTGCAAGCGGGCCGCAAGAAATCAGCGAACTAGTTTTCCGGTGCCCGCTTGCCCAAAAATTGCATGGCCGCCTACCCCCGACGATTATCTGAGTACTACAACTATTGGCCTTGGCCGGCCTTGGCCGTTGTTTGGTAAGTCACGAAAACTACCGCTCAAGGAAGTACAACGGTGGAAATTGAGAAGAAAATATTGATACGTACTTTCTAAGCTCTATCTCAGATAATCGCCGGGGGCAGGCGGTCCGCAAACTCGAGCTTTTCTGCAAGCGGTCAGCAGAATTTTGAGGCGTGGCCACTCAGATAACCGCCGGGGGCAGGCGGCCATGCGAATTTTGAGCAAGCGCGCACCGGAAAAATAGTTCGTTGATTTTTTGCGGCCCGCTTGCAGAAATTTGGAAGAAATTTGGCGAAATTAAAGACGAATGCTTGAGAACAATCGCGGTTTCTTTATGGATTAGCTGCGGCGCAGTGGCCGCATTCTCGCGGACTTTCCGCGAGAATATGCAAAAATTTCGAGGGCCGCACGGTCCTTTGTGGAGGACCGCGCAACCCCCAGGTACTTTCCGCTGAGAGAAAGTACCTCAAACTTGAGTAATTAAACCAACGATAACACCTCTGCCACACAGAGTCTTACCTGCGCTCGACGTACGCCCGAAAATACCTAAAAAGAGTCCGAGCACTTGCTGAAAATTTGGCCAGCGCTCGCTGGAAGATATTATTTGACGAGCGCTCGCAGAAAATTCTGCATTGCTGCCCGCTGGCAGAACGCGGAAGTACCGCCCGCTGAAGGTTTGGCCACGCCCCAAAATTCTGCTGACCGCCTGCAGAAAAGCGCGAGTTTGCGGACCGCCTGCCCCCGGCAATTATCTGAGCAAACCTTCACCGGGCGGTATTTCCTTTACTGTCTATGTTCTGCCAGCGGACAGCAACACAGAATTCTCTGCAGGCGCTCGTCAAATAATCTCTTTGCAAACGCTGGCCGAACTTTTAGCAGGCGCTCGGACTCTTTTTACGCAGTTTCAGGCTTACGTCGACCACGACCACAGGTAAGACTCTGTGTGGCGAAGGTGTCACCGTTGGTTAATTACTCAAGTTTGAGGTATTTTCTCTCAGCGGAAAGTACCTGGGGGCTGCGCGGACCTCCACAAAGGACCGTGCGGCCATCGAAAATTTTGCATATTCTCGCGAAAAGTCCGCGAGAATACGGCCACTGCGTCGCAGCTAATCTATAAGGAAACCGCGATTGTTCTCCAATCATTCGTCTAAAATTTCGCTAAAATTCTTCCAAATATCTGCAAGCGGACCGCAACAAATCAGCGAACTATTTTTCCGGTGCCCGACCGCCCATAAATCGCATGGCCGCCTGTCCATGGCGATTATCTGAGTCGTACATGCTCCGGAACATTTTCACTTCTTGCAATATGTGACTTCATATGTCAGATGCACTACATAAAATACAGGGGGTCCCAAAAAGTTTGTATACACTGTTTGATCATCAATATCTCTCTTCTCAAGAAGTCTTTTGCATACCCTCAAATACCATTTGTAAAGCTGGCTTCGACTTATTGTAGATTTACAGTATAGAGTGATTCATCGATCGTCCTTTGTTACTGCAGGATTACGGTAGGGACTTTCAGCATACAATGCCATTGTGAAAAAACTATTTAGAAAAAATTTTCTTTAAAAGTTCTGAAAAGGCGTGTATTAGGACTTCATTACATATCTTATTACAAAATTTTCGGGCTTTCTTGATCGATAATGTGATCACATTTTTGAGGAAACTGAAAAAACAATTTTTCGGTAAAGCATAAATCATTGAAGCATTGCAATTAAGTGCAGATTCAATATTCGGATTCCGCGATTCCGAGTAGTCTAGTGTGAAAGTTTTCTGCTTATGTAGCTCTCTTTCTGAGGTGAAATGTGGCCCAATGTGGTTCCTACGGCTCAAAATCCTCTTCAAATTTTCCATAAATCTGCAGTAGTGAAGAGAGGACGGTATGCCTGTTCACGCTGTAAATCCAAGTTGAAGGGAATGGTACCTGAAGGCAGGCAAAAGAATGCTTGGTAAGAGAGATCAAGGGTCAAACAGTCTATACTTTTGGAACACCCTGTATAAGGACCGCTTTGATACCGCTAGGATAATTTAATACACGGCAAAAAAGTTAACGAATGTTTGATCTCAAATAAGTTTCGTGCGAAGAGCTTCCGCGGTCATTCAAACGCTATAGAGAAGCTGGGTCGATCTTAGATTCAGAAAGGAGCAAATCACCCACCACCTTTTATAAGTATAGGCTTACACCTACTCAGATAATTGCCGGGGGGTAGGCGGTCCGCAAACTCGCGCTTTTCTGCAGGCGGTCAGCAGAATTTTGGGGCGTGGCCAAACCTTCAGCGGGCGGTACTTCCGCGTTCTGCCAGCGGGCAGCAATGCAGAATTTTCTGCGAGCGCTCGTCAAATAATACCTTCCAGCGAGCGCTGGCCAAACTTTCAGCAAGTGCTCGGACTCTTTTTAGGTATTTTCGGGCGTACGTCGAGCGCAGGTAAGACTCTGTGTGGCAGAGGTGTTATTGTTGGTTTAATTACTCAAGTTTGAGGTACTTTCTTTCAGCGGAAAGTACCTGGGGGTTGCGCGGTCCTCCACAAAGGACCGTGCGGCCCTCGAAATTTTTGCATATTCTCGCGGAAAGTCCGCGAGAATGCGGCCACTGCGCCGCAGCTAATCCATAAAGAGCCCGCGATTGTTCTTCAAGCATTCGTCTTTAATTTCGCCAACTTTCTTCCAAATTTCTGCAAGCGGGCCGCAAAAAATCAACGAACTATTTTTCCGGTGCGCGCTTGCTCAAAATTCGCATGCCCGCCTGCCCCCGGCGGTTATCTGAGTACAGAGGAACGCATATATCATAACGAATTAGTTGTCGTTTCGGAAAAGAATTCAAAAGTGACCTGAAAAGCTGCGCACAAGGCACGCAATTGTTTATAAAGCTTTTTGAAAGTGGGCAGGGCTTGCCGAAAATAGGCGGAGCTGTCCCGCCCACTTGCATTTTTGTATCTCGCGCATAGATGCAACATACATGCAGCTAGTTGTGAAAATGCCTGCAAACGGTTCCTCCACAAGGACAAACGTCAAAAAAACCAGCCCGTCGTCAACGTGTTAAGCTGTTCAGCTGTTCATAAAAGAGGTTTCAAAATTCAAACATTTAGTAGATTTCGGGGCACCGTATATATTAGGTCGTTTCAAAAGTAATTTTGCTTTTTTACAAACGCGCGCCACATTTGACGCAGCAAATATTTCTAAGAGATTTTGGAGGCATTCGATGCAGAATTTTATTCTCTTCAAATGATCATGAAATTGTTGCAACTCAGTCAATGAGCTTTCAGAAAATAACCAAAATCTGCGACCCATGCTTTTTGAGATGGTCAAGTTTCACGATTTTTTAAAACTTTCATATCAATCCTCAGAAGAAGTTCAAATAACGATTCGATAGAGCAAACCGTATAGAATACAGTACTACTTTTTTCTCCTTTCCATAGCTTGTCATACATTTTTAACAGAATTTTAACTGATGCTACCGATTTCCATACCTAGGCAGCTAAATCCTCGTAGAACATCAAAAGAAGAGCAGCTCGCGCACTTTTCGATGCAGCATTTTCTCCTCTTTCTGACAGGTGTTTTTGTTTCCGATTCGTTTAGTTTCCTTGGAGAAATCATCATAACTCATTTTTTGGCGAGCCCCAGGCTGTACCCGAAAAACTCGAAATTTGATATTTCGAACCCGTAAGCCCACTTG